CAATGAGACCAAAAGGTTTTGTTTTGTCTGGTTCTCGTCTCCTGTCACCGATCAAAGACTTGTCGGAAATCATAACCGATAGATATCTTCGTCTCAAAGTAATTACGATTCGCCGGAGTGAGAATTTTTTTCTCCGGCGGCTGGGATTTCGATCGGTAAAGGTCTCTTTCTTCCGATTTTGTTTCACTCTGTTCGATTGATCCTTTTTCTTGTTTTTAAACAATTTTGTCATGTATCGATTCAATTCGCTCGAAATTTACCATTTTTTTTCTTGAGTATAAACCCAAAATCCCACCAAGAAAAATCTTTATCATTTTGAATTTTTATTAGTCTCGACGGATTTTGTCAGAAGAACCCTAACCCTAATTCAAAGTCTCTGTTTTTTCTTCTTTGTTGCAGAGAGTTTAAGATAACAAAGTTCAAATGGGTACTGAGCAAAAAGATAACACAAGCTTCTCTTCCTCTGAGCCAAAGCTCTGCGTCAATGGCTGCGGATTTTTCGGAACAGCTTCTAACATGAACCTCTGTTCCAAATGCTATCATCAAGAACTCAAAGTTACCGAAGAGCAAGCTTCTTTAGCTAAAGCCCTTTTCGAGAAATCTCAAAACTTTAAATCCAAAACCCCTGAAACCACAGTTGAATCTGTTGTTGTTGCTTCTGAGACCAAGACGAGGTGCTTGAGCTGTAACAAGAAAGTGGGTTTGATGGGGTTTAAGTGTAAGTGTGGAAGCATGTTTTGTGGATTGCATAGATATCCGGAGAATCATGAATGCGAATTCGATTTCAAAGGAGAAGGAAGAGATGCAATTGGGAAAGCTAATCCTGTGGTGATGGCTGAAAAAGTGGAGAGAATCTAAGTTATAAAGTAAGCTTGAATGTTCTTGCTTTTAAGATCCTTGTGTTGTGTTATATATATAGCTCTGGTTATGGTTTGATTACTCAATCGAAATGTTAGATTCGGTTTGTGGTCTTTGCTATTGATTTAGATTTGGTTGGAGTTGGTTCTGTAATATAAAAATTTTCACAGAACTTGGTTTGTATCAGAAATGTGTGTTCTTCTTTGGTTGAATAAGTCGACTGTGTAATCGTGAAAGGACTCGTGGGGATTGAATAGTTAGAAGTTGTCGAATATTATCGGGTTTTGTTTTGCTTAGGTGACTTATGATATGAAAGTTGAGTCTTTTTGTAGCATTTTGCAACTTGAGAAAGTTATGAAACTGAGGATTTTTGTCTTAAGTAGTCATTTGTTAGAACATTTTGAGATGTTCTTGCGGATTAAAATCGCTAGAAGAGGTAGGAAGATTGTTCGAGTTTCGACCTTTAGTTGTTGCGAGTGCATGATTGAACTTGAATTAATAACCAAAGTGAAAAGGAGAGATCGTAAAAAGTGTTTATATAAAGACATTTTAAATCAAAGGTAGATCAAATTACACGACAAGGTGTTCATAAACCGTTGATCAATCACGCGGTTACTTGCAAGATCAGAATTATGGTTTCTTCTACTACTTCGTCTTCATGCTTAGGATCTTGTCTCTGAGCAGCCTTCTCATGATTTTACCAGAGAGAGATTTGGGAATTGAATCCACGAAATGGACTGCTCTGACCTTCTTATAGTGAGCCACATTTGCTGCAACAAAGTTAAGAATGTCTTCTTCTTTCTCCTTCGCTTTCGGGTTTATCACCACGCAAGCCACCGGGATCTCTCCGGCTTCCTCATCCGGTAACCTTTTTCATTATTTGTTTCAATAAGTCATTCTTCAAAATTTCGATATTTAAACTTAAGAAATTGGAAGGCGAAATGTATACTCACGGCACGACGGCGACGTCTTCAACAGATGGATGTGTGAGGAGAATAGCTTCAAGTTCCGCCGGAGCAACCTGCCGGATAATAAACCGAACCAAACCGAATTAGCATAGTCTCAACCAAAGAAGATTCAGTTCTATTTAGGTCTCTAAACCAAATTAACCGGAAATCAAAACCGAGCTGAAAAAACCAAATTACCTGAAAACCTTTGTATTTGATGAGTTCTTTGATACGATCAACTATGAAGATATCTCCATCATCATCAATGTAACCTATATCTCCTGTGTGAAGCCAACCTTCTTCATCGATCGTTTTCTCGGTTTCTTCCTTATTCTTAAAGTAACCTTGCATTACACATTGGCTCCTTACACAAAGCTCACCGGAAGTGTTCTTCGGGAGTGATCGCCCGGTGTCGGGATCAATGAACTTCACCTCGAGATTCGGAAGTATAAAACCAACCGAGTTTCGTTTCGCGATTCCTTGGCCTCTCTTAGGATCTCCGTGAGTTAACGTAATGCAGCTATGCTCCGTTAATCCATAAGCCTATTATAGCACCAACTAAAAACATCAATGAACATAAAACCGAACCGAAAAAACAGAGAGGACTTGGTCTTACACAACTTTACCTCTTGGACTTGAACATTAGGAAACTTGGCTTCAAAGGCAGTAAGAAGCTCAGGAGCTAAAGGAGCAGCAGCAGTCATAACAGAACGAAGTTTAAGCTTCGAAAGATCGAACTCATCGACAATCGGATTCTTAACAAGATTCAATATAATCGGTGGTACAATAGGCGCAAACGAGACCTCATGCGCAATCATAGCATTCAAGAAAATCCTTAGATCATATCGACTCATAGCAACAACTTTGCCTTTATTCTTCATCGTAGCGCAACAAATTCCCACAATACCGTAAATGTGAAAGAACGGTATCAAACCGAGCGTCACGATCTGACCGATCATATCGGACCGGACGCTAAAGAGTGAAGAACAGAGATTGGCAATGAGATTGCGATGTGTGAGCATTACTCCTTTTTGTAATCCTGTTGTGCCTGAAGAGAAAGGAAGTGCACAAAGATCTGTCTGAAGAATCTCTTCTTTGTCGTTATCTCCAGATTTGTCACCTGCTTCTAGAAGATCTTTCCAGTTTACTGCTCCTTCTATCTTCTCTTCACCTAACACTATTACCGGTAAACCCAAATTCTTTACCTGTCCAAAATCAGTACATACGCAAATGAGTAGACTTT